AACAGTTATACCGTCATTTGTAGACAAATAACGCAAAGGAAAATAACTTAAATTTATTTACTATTTGAATACAGTACCTATATGCATAATATGTATGTATATCAGTTTACTGTGAAGAAATTTAAGATTAATATGCGTCTTCATTGACATTTTTAATAATGTATCTACAATTGTACATTAGCAATATATACTAAATTATATCAAAAATACGTACTACCACGTTACTCGACGACAGAAATAAAAAGTAAGTAGTGTATTTTGATACACAGGGATTAAGCCAGACCGTAACGTTCTGGATAAATATGGTATTACAGACCTTGTACAAGAAGGCATTTCGCGACGGGTAGATTTCTGCATCAAAGTAACATGTCTGTTGCACTTATGTTATGTCTTCCATTGACTTTGACGATGGGATCACCCGAGGCTTGTTCAATACGTAGTCATTTATCTTATCGCAGAGTCTTGATAACTAAATTCTATAATATTAATAAACAGTCTATCTTTGATTTTCAATTTTTATTAATACAAAGTCGACTCAGTTTTATTGCAAAATGAAATGAAAAAGAATCAAAGAGAAATAGCCCGTTATAAGAGCAAAAAGTAATAATTGTTTTAATCAGGATTTCCAGGATAATTATTCCGTGTTCGTTGCTCGAACCCTGTCACGTGCCCAGGTGCTACTTGGCTGGGCGAAAGCAACGGGGAACGATGACTTCATTTCATATAATAATAACATGTCTATGCGACTGGCAATGCGTTAGCTTACTGCGCACGACGTATTTTCCACTTATGTGTGCGTGTGTGTTTAGGCAGTGGAATTGCGTCGGTTACATTTTTATCAATTATCATTTCATCTGTAATTGTTCCTTGGAACCATTTCTCACAATTTCCGGTATCGGTCGTACATATTCCATTACTTTATAGAATGTCTATACTTAAATTTCCATGGAATATGTACCGGTTTAAAGTACCTCGCTATCAGACGAGAAAATTAACACGTAATCGATATAAAGTATACCAAGTATACATATATACATT